TGGAGGCCATTCAATGTCACAAGTTTTTTAATTATCGTATCCCCAAACTTTTCTCACAATAATTTAGTTGTTGCACATGCCGTGCGGCACGAAGCCTCGTCTTGTTGGAACCAGAAGTGGTTAGATCAACTTCTTCAATTGCGCCATAAAAGTTGTTTATCGCTCTCCATTTAAAGTAACGGTATCACCAGCTCATTTCGAAAGAAGTACGGACAGATGATTCCATCAGACTAAAACGACATCAAACTGTCAATTAAGGTGAATGTAATGGTTTCACGAATAATTTGTGAATTTCTTCTTTCAGAATCGACCGTTTTGTTTATTTACCGCACCACTCAGATCAAAGTGAGCCTCGAAAATCACACGAAAAGTTGCAATTGCAGAACGATTATCTGGATATTAAAATTTAATCATTTGGAAGCGTTGTTCCTGCGTATATCTTTCCACGATGAAATTGTAACATTACTGAATAACATGGAAAACATTACAGATCACGAAAATATAAAAATGTTCGAAACGACACTTAGAAATCACATCATCCCTATTGGAGATCCGATATATCTCGTATACAAATTTTCAAAAACGGACGACTTTTTCCTGTCTCTTCGAGTTTTAATTAAAATTTATAATTCTAATATTAATTCATTGAAAGTAATCCAAAATCGTTTATGCTTTCGTCAACTCCAAACGCAGGATTTTCCAAATTTTTTTTTTTTTTTTTTGAAAAATTTGTATACGAGATATATCGGATTCTCCAATAGGGATGATGTGATTTCTAAGTGTCGTTTCGAACATTTTTAATATTTCGTGATCTGTAATGTTTTTCCATTGTATTCAGTAATGTTTACAATTTCATCGTGGAAAGATATACGCAGGAACAACGCTTCCAAATGATTAAATTTTAATATCCAGATAATCGTTCTGCAATTGCAACTTTTCGTGTGATTTTCGAGGCTCACTTTGATCTGAGTGGTGCGGTAAATAAACAAAACGGTCGATTCTGAAAAGAAGAAAATTCACAAATTATTCGTGAACAACCATTACATTCACCTTAATTGACAGTTTGATGTCGTTTTTAGTCTGATGGAATCATCTGTCCGTACTTCTTTCGAAATGAAGCTGGTGATACCGTTACTTTAAATGGAGAGCGATAAACAACTTTTTATGGCCGCAATTGGAAGAAGTTGATCTTAACCACTTCTGGTTCCAACAAGACGAGGCTTCGTGCCGCACGGCATGTGCAACAACTAAATTATTGTGAGAAAAGTTTGGGGATACGATAATTTCAAAAACTTGTGACATTGAATGGCCTCCAAGGAGTTGTGATTTAACACCATTATATTACTTCTTGTGGAATTATTTGAAATCTTTGATCTTTAGCAAAAAACAGATTTTTTCCAAGTTTAAGAAGTTAGTATTGAACGTGCTATTCATGACATACGACTCGATTTAGTGAAAAAAGTACTCAAAAATTGGGTTCATCGAATTCGTTTCTGAAAAAGTGGTCGTGAAGGCCATTCGAATGATGTTATGTTCAGAACTGAATTGTATCGATTGTAATTCCCATTAAATTTAAACATTTAAATTCCCTTAACAATTAGTTGGTTTTATTTCTTTTTGAAAATACCATATCCCTCTTACTGGAAAACCCTTTATAAATCTGCAAGTAACCAATCCTTAGTTTTTCACAAACACATACGCAAATATGTCACACTTGGTACGGATTGCCCCCAAATATTCTACTACTAATATCACGCTTGGTACGGGTTGCTTCTTAATATTCGACTCCTTAAACGTCTTAATACCTCAAAGCTGCTATAGTGTGTTGCCGTGTTATGTTTCAAAATTTATAACTTTGAGAATGTGTTTATTACATATTCAAATATTTTTGGATTATTAAAATTCCAAAAGATTTAATTTACATAGTTTTGTCTATATTATTATTATTAATTGTATCAAAATAGTATTAGATGGCTCCAATTTTATCAAAAATATTTATAGAATATTTGTGTCACGGTTTGTAAAATCATTGTATTTCGTACAACCGTATGATGTCAAATGTCATTTCAAGTGACATGTTTCAAGCTTAAGAAGCTTCGGAAATTTTTAGAAAATTTAAGTTTAGTTTTATTGTAACTGACTTATATTATTAATGTAATTAATATTCATGTAGTGTACCTGACTTTATAGGTAAATATATATATTTTTGTGTAGTTGTATTTGTACAAGTAGATTGATTTAGAACTGTAACATATATAACATATTATTGTATATGGGTGAATATAGGCCTCCTGGGGAACCGAACACCCAAATAAGATCGGTAACGCGCCTACATTGCATCCTCAGAAGGGATAAAGAAAAGGAATAAGTATGCTAACTTTTGTTTCGATAATATTTTTGAAAGTTTTCTTTAATGTTTTTCATTGCTATGGTATTTGCAACATAAAAAAGTTTTTGCAGTACATTTCTTTTATTTATATCTGTATGTCAAAAAAGGTAGATTTCGATCAGGTGATCTCAGATGTGTAAAATTCTTGAAAACCAGCCGATTCTTTTGTAACTGGTAGGTTTATAAAATGAACTAAACTACACGATTGCGAATTTTGCATTGAAATATAAATGACCTTATTAATAACTAAATTCCGTTCTTCCACTTGCTTTTAGGGGAATGTGTGCATATGGTAGCAACATTAGTTGTTACTTTTAGTTACACATTTTATACGTTTAGGAACATCTTTTATTGCCAAACGCTCATCATCTCTATCAGGACAACGCCAGGCCACACACGTCTTTGGTGACGCGCCAGAAGCTCCGGGAGCTCGGATGGGAGGTCCTAATGCACCCACCTTATAGTCCGGACCTGGCCTGATGGCCTGATTACCATCTTTTCCTGTCCATGGCGAACGCGCTTAATGGTGAGAAGTTGGCCACAAGAGAGGTCTGTGAAAATTGGCATCTCGTTGGCAAAAAATCTACGAACAAACGGCGCATATTTGACTTAAATCGGACAAATGTACACAAAGTCATCTTTTGAAAAATCAATAAAAACCCGAACGAAGATGTTGACGAAACTTGACGTTCCTGTGAGCTAAAACCCTATACATCAGCGATAGTCAGATGAAGCGCCCTTAATGTTGGCAATGCAATGCTATTGTTAGAAGAAAACTGTGGCATCTAAGGGTCATGCAGACGGCAAAGTCACATTTATTCAATCAATCCTTCAGCCTGCTAGATTAATGAAATAATGTGAACGAATCAAAGGTCACATTAGATCTATGGTCGTGGTGCATATCCTCTTCCTCTTTATCTATTTATCTACTAGATCTAGTACCCTATATTGGTCACCGAAACTCCTGACATGTTCTGAAACAACCACCCGATCGGCTACATTTACCGGTGAATTCTGCCGACTTAATAACATTAGCAGTTGTTGCACTAGTATTTCACTAATACGTTTTAAACCACAAGTATTTCTAATTTGTGCCTTTTGGCGTTTCCTTGCCATAAAATCAGAGAATAGGTAAATTATTTGATATCAAAAATTATATCGTATAGTGTACTATCTTATATATGGTTATGGAAGGTTATTTCCTTATATTTAAAATTAAAAATTAAATCGTTAACCAGTGATTTGTGAAACTGTCAGTTTGCTTTGCTATAATAGTTTGTAATAAGCAATTGGTCTTACATTACTACGACCTGACTTTTCCTTCCGACGATCCAGGTCTCATTCTTTAGTGGCTTTGTTGCAAACCCTGAGTTTACTTTTTGATAATATACCATACTCGCTAACTTATATATATATAAATTTGAAATATTTTGTATTTAATTTAGCAATGTTTTCATGTTCCTATAAACATGTATATCTAATATCTATACATATACTATATGTGCTAAGAAAGTACTGTAAATATTTATATGTATGTTTTTTTTTTGTTTCTCTTATTTTTTATTTTCTCGCTTAAAAGGAGACGGTGTAAAAATTGGACATTGGACATGGCACCTCCCACCTTTTAGTGAAATCCTACATTATAGGAATTAATCGACCAATTTCACCTCAATTCCGAATATACCGAATATGTGCACCTCTGAGATATATTTAGTGAAGTTCAGAGAGAATCTTTTCCAGATAATAGTGTGTACTTGTGGCAAAAACTGAATAAAATCGGATCAATACTTCATATAGGAATTCCTCATTTACCCAATATAAAAGTTTTCGAACCTCCGCTGGACTTTTAAACGTATATAGCGGTCTATAGTATGTGAGATATTTTACAGAAATTAAGATAGCATCTTTATCTAAAAACCGTGTGTCTTTATCCCTAAAATGGGTAAAATCGGGTAAATTATTCCCTTCCGGTTGATTTATCATATACATATATCGGTAAATCTGTGAGTCATCTTAATGAAACTCAGAGATCATTTATTTTTGGTAATAATATGTCGTGAAGCCAAAAATTTATATTACAATACTCCCCCTAGCCACCATTAGATATATGAGTATTATTGGTATTTCAAACTTCCGGTTTCGGGTTATTTAGTTAGCTTTTTCCTCATATGTATATTCCAAATATGATTCTAATCCATACGGTTTCTTCGAATAGCGCAATTTGAATTCTTACTTGTTTTATTTTTTATTTGCTATTTTGCGTTTGTTCTCTTAATTATGTAAAAAAGCAGATAGGCTTTATTAAATATAAAGAAAATTGTCGGAAAGTAAATATTTGACACTTTTTATTCCTTTTTCTATCTATGCGAAAAGGGCCCAAGTGATTGGTGACCTCGCAGTTAGGTTGAGGTTTCGTTATACAAGTATATTAAAAATATTTAGTTTTTAGCAGAAAGAAGTCAGTAAAAGTTGTGCAATTTCTGTTTTTAATATTCTTAACCGGGGAATTTTGAAAAGGGAACCAGAAACAGAATAATATGCTATGTGAATATTTTAAATTCTCGTTTTTTAGTTAATTCATAGAATTCAAATTAAACTTTTCCCTTTTCAGCAATATGGTCAAAAACTAAAAAGGGATCAATGTGTGTTTAAATCATGGCATATAACCGAGGCTGCTTGTTAGTGTATAATGATTGAGCTACATGCAAAATTAAATACTATTTGGTATATAGTTTTAATTATTTCATCTATATCAACTGGTATAAAATCAGGTAAGTTTCACAATTGTAAACTCAAGAAACTTTTATATAGAATTGCTCACATCTATTTCATAAAACTTCAATTTTACCAACTTGACGCAAAAAGAAAATTAGCTGTAAATGTTAACACTAAACATAACTTTATCGGTCAAATGACCCATTTTTGAACATTAAATATGCACGTATTATCTTATTGCTTTTGCACATTTGAGTTTATAACTTTTTCTAACTAATAATCTATTTTGATTTTTCTAATGATTTGTTTATTTTAAGTAATACTTCTCGTATATTATTATTTAGTGCAAGTGAAATTTTAACCGGGACAATATTTTTATACACAAGTGACATGTTGTAAAAAAGAGTATAATAGTTTTTTCATCTACTAATTCTATATAACACCTAAAACGGGTTGAGGCTGTTATAGACTAAAACATACCTCACAATACAGTAGGATTTCATTGGACCTCGTATCAAAATTGGACAACGGAAGTGGCAACGAGGGATCTACCTGACTTATTTGAACCAAATTTGGTGCATAACATTACTCCGACAATCTTATGTTACATATTGGAAATGGGCAAAATCTCCTGTCAGTGGAAATGAGAGAGCAACTCACCTATCCAACTTATTTGGATCGGGTAGGTTTTGATGTTTCGCAATTGAAACGACTGGAACAGTTGCTGCCGCCGTACTCGATTACTAATAAAAAATATAAAACAATGAAAACGAAAGAAAACACGAAATTTAAAAGTATTTGATAAACTTTTTAAATGTTTTGCGATGTGATGCATCATAGTATAAATTTTCAATTAAAAGACTAAAAACATTCATTAATTAAGAGCTAAGAAGCTTCAATCACTTTATTAAGCATTGAAAGTTCAAAAGTCAGTTTATTTAATACCACCATAGAATCATAAAAAAGATTTAAATAGTTTCTTCATTTATGAAACGTCCAATATGTAATAATTTTTAATCGAAATTATTATTTTGTCCGAGATGACTTCATTGGAATATGTTATAAAAATGCTAATTTTTTAGGCGCTTTCACACTGGAATAAATTATTCCTTTATCCCTGACGCCCATAATGAGAAAGTGCAGGTTCGACAGCGAACATTTAAAAACTTTGTGAAAGATTATTGAGTCTTAGACGTACAAAGTAGTACTTTCGAAATTGAGTCATGAGTTTCTAAAACACTTTTCACCATAAAATAGGCACTATGGTTTGAGTGGCTCTCACCACACCTAATGAAAGTGTATAAAATAGTTATATTTTATAACTTTTATATTATTTTAAAATTATTCCCTAACAATATAATTCAATACCACGTGTGCGCAACCAAAGTTAGGATGAAAGGGCGATTTAACACCAATCCAAGGCTGAACGGATGATTTTAACTACACCTAATGGTATTGTATAAAATAGTTAATTTCAATAAATTTTATATTATTTTAATAATTTATCTTAATACGTATTTAAGACCACGTGTTACGAGCCAAGAATGAAATAAATGATGATTTTGGACCTGGATCTGGATTTAAAATTGAACTTCATATCTAATATTACCAGACTATATCATTATGTAGCTACAATATATTAAGTGAAATTTTGTACGATATATGCCCTGGCATGCCGCATGCGATTACCTACAAGTGCCTTTTCGCGACGATGGCAAAAACTAACAAATAAGGAAAAGCTAAGTTCGGGCCTAACCAAAAATTTTATACTCTTGCAATTTGAAAGGATCAAAGCTGGATAAATACCTTCAGGTGTTGGGAAAACTTAATATATAATATTGCGAAAGAATTCAACATTCGATGTTACACGAAATCGTTAATAGATTACAATGAAATTTGTATCTTATTAACTTATTAAGTCAACTAGATTTTTGAAAATTTTGATATGAGTAATATGGGGGCTAAGGCAAGTTCTCACCCAATTTAATCTATTTTTACTACAAAAATAAATTATCAAAAGAGAAACATGATTTTTCAATACCAATAAGATAATTCAGATATTGACCGACATATGCGTAAAAATTCAGCCGGAAACTCGAAAATGTGTCAATTAGGTATATGGAGACTAAGGACACCGATTCACCATTTTCGACATACAGGTATACTATAATCAAGAAAGGATTCTCTCAGAATTTCTATAATATAACATAGAGATTGACCGATATGTTTGCTAAAAAGTTCGCAGTAGGAACTGGTGTTTGTTTGCTTCTGACGCTTTTATTTATAGATTTATCGCACCTTTAGTACTTTTTAACAAAACCGTTATATGGGGAGAGAGCGGGGTTATCATCCCATTGCACATATTTTACATTTGCCCTTACGAATTTAATTATTACAGCTTTAGAGGTTAAGGAGATATGTACATTAAACCTATGAGAAGGCGGGGCCACGCCCACTTTTTATAAAAAATTTAACTGCAGCTGCCCCTCCCTAATGAAATTCCTTTCACCAAATATCAGCCTTATATTTTATTGTGTAGCTTAGTTATGGCAATTTATCGGTTTTCGATTAATGGCGTTTTGTGGGCTTGGCAATTGTCCGATTAAGCCCATCTACAATACCAACAGTCTTATCTTAATTTTTGCTATAATTACAGCTTGCACAGACGCACGGATGTACGGGCAGACAGTCACCAGGATTTCAACTCGTCTCTTCATCCTGATAATTTATGCATATAATAACCCCATATCTAACTCGATTAGTTTTAGTTGATACAAACAACTGTTAGGTGAACAAAACTATTATACTCTGTAGCAACATGTTAAAAGAGTATTAAAACTATAAATTGTACAACTTTCTCATGTTCTTTGGAGAAAGAAAAAGTGACAACCCTGAGTGACTCACGTCGATTTAAAAAAATTGTCTATTCTAAAAAAATTTTGCGTGGCTCGATATGTGTGCAAATTATCGCTGCGTCCCACCAAAGGATTAGGTAACACGTCGGATTGTCTACTGAACTTAAACATTTTATTTCAATTCCCATTTTATACAACTTTCTTAATATAATGCTTATTCTAGATTACATATTTACTTATTTCTACGCACAACGCACTGCAGATTTACGCTACTCAGCTCTGGCTCATGCGGCCTCATTTTGTTGCGGCACCACTTCTGTTTAGGATTAGTGTCGGCAAAAAGTGAAGTCGCGGATGTGTGTTACTTTAACATGATCGAACTTTCTCAGCGAATTGAGCTTGCGCAATGCTGAATTTGTGCTGACTGTTATTATGTCGAACAATGCTCTTATTACTTAAAGTCGCTGATGTTTGTTATTTAAACAAAACTGCTTACTTATAATTGAACTTATCCATCAGCGAAATGTAATTTATTTTTGCAACAATTCTACATAGCCAGACTATTGCGATCACTGGTTGAATGAACGGACTCTATTGCACCGTTAACTTCTTTCCTTTGAGGTGGTGATATATATATCGATCCCTATGCCTTCTAAATAGTGCTTAAGCTGCGTTCATTGTCCATAACCAGCATTTTTGGAACAGAGAAGTAGTGGAAAATTTTCATTAATATATCTCTAATATGCAGTACTGATTTATTTTAATTCTAAAAGATTTTACAAATTTGTCTGCCATTTCGAGTATGTCGATATGTAATATTTCTGTGTGATTTAATGGTATAGGAGTGGCCTGTATCTCGGGTTTCTGTGAATGTCGGTCATATTTATTGATGCCAAAGATTTCACACGCTTTTGTGTAGTTTTTTATAAGCTTTGCCAATTGAGGAAAATATTATTTATCTAAGATCTGGTCTTTGTTTTTTGTTTTCCATACTATTTCTTAAGTTCTTCGCCCAAAATATCTGTCACAAGTCTCTGAACGATTCAGATACGAAACTTCGAAAAATGGTCTTGGTATACTTCTTGCAGTAACGGAAGGTATTTTTCAGGAATTTTGATTCCATTTACGGTAGTATGTTCGGATTAAGAAGTTTTTTAGTAATTCTATTAAGGTTTCAGTAGCAAAGTTGGCTTGTTTCTTCTTTCCCTTCGATTGATTTGATTCTTAAATACATTTAGCGATGCTTCGCAATGAGAAATAAGCTTATATAGGATGATCCATTTCGAGGTTCCCTACTTTTTTGAGGAAAAAAACACAGAAAATTTAAATTTAATGGGAAATGTTTATTACCATTCAAAAGAACATTCTTTGGCATTTATTTTTTGAAGATTATCTCTTTCAAATCTTGGCCGCGGCTACGTCTCAGATGGTCCATCTGCTGAGTTAAATTTTCGATGACTCGTTCGAGCATTTTGACTGGTAACTGGAGAATGACAAGCGTGATATTTTGCTCCAAGGCCTGAATTGAAGCGAGATTGTCCGCATATACTTTAGACTTTACATATTCCCACAGAAAAAAGTCTAACGGTGTGATATCACACGATCTTGGTAGCCAATCGACCCGCCAAAACGTGAAACTATCTGCTTACCGAAAGTTTCTCTCAATACATGCATTGACTAATGCGATGTGTGGCTTTTTGAAACCAAATGTCGCCAAGACCACGAGCTTCAATTTCAGGCATCAAAAAGTCGGTTATCATGGTGCAATAACGGCCGCCGTTCACGGTTACATTCTCACCGGAATCATTTTTAAAGAAATGTGGACCGATGATTCCACCAGCGAACAATCACACCAAACCGTTGTTATTTTCTGGATTAAATGGCAGATCTTCAAACTCTTCAAGTTGCTCTTCATCCCAAATGCGTCAATTTTGCTTATTCACATACCCATTAAGCCAGAAATAGGCCTCATCGCTGAACAAAATTTGGCTCGAAAACGTCGGATCTTCTTGGAACTTTTAAAGAGCCCATAGAGCGAAGCGATGTTGCTTGTGTATGCTTTCAATTTAAGAGCTCGATGTAAAATGCGCCAAGTCATTTCATACGTCAGTCTGAGTTGCTGCTAACGGCACCGAATCGACTCTCCACGGTCTTCGTGTACACTCTCAGCTAGGCCGCTATAATTTCTTCATTGCGTGCTG